AAAGCAAGGATTTAGCCAGTAGGGCACCATGAAGCACCTTAATGATATAGTAGTGACTATTTGCTGTCTTTCAGACAAAGGGCGAGGTAGAATCTTGAAATAAATTTAAACCAATAATATCTCATCTGCCTAAAGAAAAATGTAAAGAGCAAAAAAGACCCTCCACTCCTCCTCCAGAAAAAGCCCCTCTTCGATCAGGCAGTTGCATTTTAGTTGTGTAAGCAGACACCAAGGAGTGGTACTGGGCAGCTCCGAGTCCCAGGTTTAGTTCCTAACTAAGTGGCTTAGCAAGTAGTTGCTAAATAAACTAGGCATACATCTCCTCTGTGCAACCTACTGTTGTAAAGAGTTATTCACCATTTTTTAATAGGCTTGTGCATGTATGAAGATGATTTAACATCTTGGGAAACTCATTTGTTTATATGCTAATAATATTATATAAGAATCATGCCATAATTGGGCTGTTTTCCCAACTAAAATTCTAATGGGAAGAATATTGTTGAGTTTAATTGCTTCTTCTGTTAATATGTTTTAAAATTGGCTCTTGAGTCACTTTCAACATCTGTACTGTACTGTCTTAAATCCTTTGTTTTGGTAAATGCAACTTACCGGATGTTTTCTCTCAGTAGATGCAGAACTGACTTAGGAGCGCTGTGCACCTTTCAAGAACATCCCACATTTCACCCATCAGAATGCTTTCTGACTGCAGTGATAGAAATCCCCGACTCCGCTGGTTTCATTAGGCCCTAATGAAGAACACATAACCAAAAGTTCAGGATTGGTAATCCTTCAGCTTAGTAACATCGTTCAGGGCTGATGGACCTATCTGCTAGGCCTCCCTGGTTTCCAGTTGTGTGCAGACTGATTCAGCACACTGCCTTCATACTTTTTGTCCAAGAGGAAGAGCTTTTCCATTGGAAAATGCCTCCAGAGGCAGAGAGAGAGAGGCAGGTGCTGGCATTCCATATGGACTCTGGTGCAGGTCCTGGCTGCTTCACTTCCCATCCAGGGGGACCTGGAAGAAGCTCCTGGCTCCTGGCTTCGAATTGGCTCGTCTGCAGCCACAATGGTCATTTGGGGAATGAACCAGTAGGTGGAATATCTTTCCCTCTGTCTCTCCTTCTCTCTGTAAATCTGCCTTTCCAATAAAGATAAATGAGTATATGTATTTTTAAATGTTCCTGTTAGCTGGTATTGGGCCAGGGCCAGGCTGAAGCCAGGAGCCAGAAACTGCATCTTAGTCTCCCATGTGGATGACAGGGACCCAAGGACATAAGTCTCCCAGTGGACTCATCAACAGAAAGTTGGACCAGAAACTGAGCCAGAACTAGATTCCAGGCCCTTCGTAGGATCTTTAAGTTGGGCAACTAGCAAATTGCCATCCTTGAAACCATCTGTATTCTTTCTAGTCATTTTATCACTGAAGAAGCCTGATAAGGGTGGCTGCCCCCCCCCCCAAACCTCCCCAAGGCTAGAATTCACAACACTCCAGTTATACTGCATTCTAGGGACAGAGAAGGGTCATGAGAGATCAGCAGAGCCTCAGCAGGTAGGCACAACGCTGTGAATCCCTGAGGAAGAACAGGTTTCAGCAAGGCTGTGATGGATCCTGGCTCTGAGTGTGCGATGTAAGGACATACAGTGCACAGAGGAGCTGAGGACAGTGTAGCTGCAGTGAGCGGGCCAGCTTGTGCAGCCCTTGCTGCCGAGCACACAACCAGCAAGGGGGCCCACAGCCAGTTGGCCAGGGCCAGCATGAGGTCCGATGGTGTCCTGGTTCTGAGGTGGAGTGGTTAGATGGGGGTCCCTTCTGAAAGGACAAACACTGCAGAAGGAGTACCAGGATTACTTCAGGACAGCACTGCAGTGTGACTTGTTCCGGTCACGCCATGCTCTTGGCCTGCGCTGGGTCTCTGAGAAACAGTCGTGTAACTTTTTCATGGAACACAGAACTTGCACTTCGTGCTCTGTTCATCCTACACCCACCCACCCACCAGCCGGTTTGCCTAGGTCTTCACAGGGTTCTCCCTTCTGGTGCTCTCCTGAGAGCTTTTCCCTGAGCCCCACCTCTGCTTTCAACAACCTCCTCCCCCACACTCCCCTGCCCAACAGTCCTTCCTTGTCTGCCCAGCCTTGAGAGCTGCTGTCTTCTCCCCTGCTGAGTAGGTCTCCTGGTTCCCAGTGCCTGGAGCGCAATGCCGGGACTGCAGGCTGCGATTCACCAGATGAGTGAATGAGATGGCTTGTGCTTCTCTTCTGCAGGTGCTTCTCTCCCCGTGAGTCTCTGTTCCTGCTTCCATTGGCTCCTGAAGGCCATGCCTCTTTTCCCTTTTCTGCCTTAGCCATTAGGAAATGCTTAATTCAGTACCCTCCTGTTCCCCTAATCTTTGTTAGCAGTCTCTTCTTCCCCTAATGTCTGTGGGTGCCATGGGGTCAGGGACTCAGCTTTCTTGCTTGTGATTGGCTTCCTGGTGCCTTGCCATATCCCTGGCACACAGTACATGTTCAGTGAGTGTTATTAGGTTAATGAATGAACACATCTAGTATACCTTTCCTTTACCAGTTACTGTTTCTCATGCACTCTGACCTCTCATTCTGCACTCCCCGTCCTTAGGGGTTTCCAGACTTCTTTTCCTTTTCCCAGCAGAGAACCTTTTTCCTTTCAGGACAGCAGGTCCCACCCCAGGGCACATGAATGTGTGCCTTTGCTTCCTTTCCTGGGCCCCTCAGGCTGATGGTCCTGATGACTAAACCTAAGGTGACTCACAGCTCCCATTCTGACAAGGGAAAGGGGCCCGAGTCCACACAGTCTGACTCATGTCTGCTTGGCCCAGAGAGGTGAAATGATCACTCAAGATCACACAGCAGGACCCAAAGTGGGAGCACACAGCAGAGTGAGTGGCATTCCACAGTACAGGAGAGGAAAGTGAGTTTTCTCCTTATTTTTAAAGATTTATTTATTAGGAAAAGGCAGATTTATGGGAAAAAGGAAAGACAGGGAGAAACATCTTTCATCCACTTGTTCATTCCCGAATTGACCACAATGGCTAGAGCTGAACTGATCTAAAGCCAGAAGCTTCTTCTGGGACTCCCACATGGGTGCAGGGTCCCAAGGCTTTGGCCGTTCTATAGGACTTTCCCAGGTCACAAGCAGGGAGCTGGGAGGGAAGTAGAGCAGCCAGGACCCCAACCTGCACTCATGGGATCCCAGTGCTTGCCAAAGGGGAGGATTAGCTAATCAAGCCATTGCACCAGGCCCTGGAAATACCTTAAATGTAAGCTACCATGAGAGTTGGGTGACAGCCTAAATTGGCTCTGTTTAATCTTCAGATTATTTAATCCCTCTGTCTTCATCTATATCCTCTCTCTCTCTTCCTTTGCAGTTTTACATTTAATGTAAATAGTTGAATCTAAGATTGGTTGGTTAATAAGGAAGGTTAATGTATATGTTTTTACATACTGGTTCTGTTAACATCTCTCACTTAATGCTTGAGGAGACAAGGAGACTTTGTTGATGCATAGAATTTTTCATTTTTTAAAAGCATTATGTATGGTTTTTTTCTTTAGCAGATTCAATATAGTTCATAGATTCAGTTGTAAGAATGTAATGATAGGGCCCTGCACAATGGCTCAGTGGTTAAGGGCCTCGCCTTGCACGCCCGGGATCCCATATGGGCGCCTGTTCATATCCCAGCACCCCCGCTTCCCATCCAGCTCCCTGCTTGTGGCCTGGGAAAGCAGTCAAGGACGGCCCAAAGCTTTGGGACCTTGCACCCATATGGGAGACCCGGAAGAGGCCCCTGTCTTCGGATTGGCTCAGCTCCGGCCGTTGCGGCCGCCTGGGGAGTGAATCATCGGACAGAAGATCTTCCTCTCTGTCTCTCCTCTCTGTATATCCACCTTTCCAAAAAAAAATAAAATAAATCTTAAAAAAAAAAAAAAGAATGTAATGATATTCGCTTCCTCTCTGTGTGAGGCTGTGCACGTGCACTGCCTCTTCACTGGCTGATCCCAAGCATCTGGAGCAGGGCCTCTCGGTACACACGTGTCACAGCACTGAGGACTGTCTCTTCCCTGTCTGCTGAGGCCCCAAAGGCCCTGATGGGCTCTTGCTCACTTTGCTTCTCTGAGCAGGCAGCATGACAGCATAGGGAAGGTGCAGAACCTAGGGCTGGGGTCTACACTAGGAGACACACTCAGTGTTTGAGTGATCATATGTGATGGATATGCAAAAGTTTATTAGGTGACATATATAATATGCTCATTTTTCTTGTGTGTATATGTGTATTTTCTGTAAATTTTTTTTCTAAATTATTTTTCATGACGTGTTTCCATAGGCATGGGGTATATGTGTATTTTTAGTTTTATTTCTGTTTTTAAGATTTATTTATTTTTATTGGAAAGTCAGGTTTATAAAGAGGAGAGACAGAAAGATCTTCTCTCCATTGGTTTGCTCCCCAGCTAGTCGCAATGGCTGGAGCTAAGCTGATCCAAAGCCAGGAGTGAGAAGCCTCCTCCAGGTCTCCCACATGGGTGCAGGGTCCCAAAGCTTTGGGCCATCCTCAGCTGCTTTCCCAGGCCACAGGCAGGGAGCTGGATGGCAAGTGGGGCAGCTGGGATATGAACTGGCGCCCATATGGGATCCCAGTACATGCAAGGCAGGATCTTTAGCGACTAGGCTACTGTGCTGGGCCTGTGTGTGTTTTATAAAGTTCCCCATAGTCTGACTTTGAAGGCAACTTAACATGAAGGGGAGTGCTTTCTTCGCATCTATAATCTCTGCCTGCGATTTTAGAACGAAGTTGGGATTCTGTTTGCTTGTTCACATGAATGTTCCCTCGCCTGGAGTTTCCTCCCAGAGCATGATTTTCAAGCAGTCAGGCAAGCACTGTGCCTGATGCAAGGACACAGCGCGGTGGGTTGAGATGCTGTCAGTACTCCTCCTTTAAGAAGCTGACATTTTGTTTCAAGCAGTTTTGACCTCTCCCTGTTTTCCACAGGGGACATGGTCTCAAAGTACCGGCAGCCTCTAATCCACACCTTCCTGAGGGGTGCCAGAGATGCCGACAGCAATCACCGGGCCAGCAGCCTCGCCAACCTGGGAGAGCTGTGCCAGCGGCTGGACTTCCTGCTGGGCCCCGTGGTCCATGAGGTATGCTGGCTCCTTCCCCTGATTCTTTTCCCCCCTTGGACCCACAATAAATCTTGGCACTGGGAGTCAGGAGACCTCCATTCTTCCTCTAGTCCTGTTGCTGCATCCCAGTGAGACACAGCAAGTAAGTGATTCTCTGTCTTTCTCTGGCTTGAGAGATCCATTTTATTTATTTGAAGGGCAAAGTATCAGGAGAGAGAGAGATCTTGCATCCACTGGTTCACTCCCTAAATGGCCTCAACAGCCAGGCTGGGTCAGGCGGAAGCCAGGAGCCTCCTCCAGGTCTCCTGCACACAAGCACTTGGGCCACCTGCCATTGCCTTCTGTGGTGCTTTAGCAGGGAAATGGCTGGGAAATGGAACAGCCAGGATTTGAACATGTACCCATATGGGATACTGGTCCCGTAGGTGGCAGTTTAACATGCTGTACCACAGTTCCAACCCAGCAAGTAAGTCACTGATCTTCTGTAGGCTTCGCTTGTCTCATGTATATATTGAAGGTTTTATTGCAGGTTGAACATCCCTAATCTCAAAACCCAAAATCCACAACTTTTTGAGTGCCAGCATGATGCTCTAAGTAGAAAATTCCACACCGAGACACTTTGTTAAATGCACAAAATTAGTTAAAAAAAAAAAATAGTACACAGGTGTGGGCCTCTAACCCACTTCAAATATACACACATGATCTTTGCATCCCGTATCATTGTGCCTGAGTTTGATGCCATGTTATACCTTCTGCCTTCAGCTGTCTACCCATGCAAGGAAGGCCCGTGCAGTGAGCTGGTGTAACTGGGCTCCTGCCACCACCAAGGGAAACAAGCATTGTGTCGCCAGCTCCTGTTTTGACCTTGGATCAGTCCTGGCTGTTACAGGTGCTAGGGAGTAAAAAAGAGCAAATGGGAACTCTCTTTATTTCTCTGCCTCTCAAATACCTTCCAGCAAGGTGTTTAGGGTACACATGAAACATAAATTAATTTCATGTTTAAAGATTTAGGTCTTGTGCCCCACAGTCTCTCGTTATGTGTATTTAAATGATCTCATACTTAAAAGGATCCAAAAAATGGAACAATTCAAACGTTTTGGGTAAGAGATAGTGAGCCTCTGGTAAGAATTTCTTCATTACAAGTAACAGGAAGTCATGTTAACCCACCTGAGGCAATGAAAGATGATCGTAAGAATTCTGAAGTGACAGAAACCCCAGGAGAAGGGTAGCTAGAAGAGGAACTAGAGTTAGACTCAGTCGCTCTGCACTCTGCAGCAGAAATTTAGCTTTTTTTTTTTTTGTTTTCGCTATTGATGTTGAATTTTAGCTTGCTTAGAGAGCATTATAAGTTCTTTCCCAATTTCTCCTTGTTTTTCTCAAGAGCTGTGTTGCTCAAAACCAATCCTGGACAGATAGATGCTCTCACGTTTCCTCCTTCTCTGGCAAGGAAATGTGATCTCTGTGACTTGCAGTGACAGGCCTGTCCTCCGTGCCCGTAAGCAGGATGTGCCCTGGGTGACAAGTCCAAGGAGCTGCTTTTCATGTGCTGCCCAGAATTCCCCACACCGGAGCTCTGAGGGTTTACCCAAAGCCAGTGCCTCTGATCCCACTCACAGACGTCAGTGCAGTTTCCTGAGCAAGGCCTGCAGGATGCGTAGGTCCTTCAGGGGAAACCCTGAGCAAGCTGCAGCGGCCACAGTGGTTTCCCTCCTAAGGTAGGGTGAGGGAGCTGAGCTCGTGAGAATTGCTGGGCTCGTCGCCTTTGCTGCTAGGCTGCCCGGTCTGCAGATGGTCTGATTCAGACAAGGTGGCTGGCCAGCAGAGGAACTTTGGGGAGGGATGCAGAGACACATGGAGATAAACTCTGTCATATACACCGTCCCACAGGCCCTTCCTCTCCTGGGGTTTCCCATAGTCTGGTCTTGGCAATCCTACCATTTGCATTCTCTTTATACACTTCAGTGATGCTTGGTGTACACTGGCTGTGATGGCCTCCTTCCTCTGTTGGCTTCAGCTGACCTCTGGTGTTTCCAGAGCTTAACTCTCCTCTCCCTTGTTCTGCTCTCTGAAGTCAATGTGATTTTGACAATGGACCAGTGGAGCTGAAGCCTTGTACCATGTGGGTTAGTTACCAGAACAGAGACATTGAGTCTCAGAGGCAGGGGACACAAAGATCACACAGAACATTTTCATTCCCCCTGGGAGGATTTAGAGAATAGAAATCTGATGCCATTACATAAATTGATAAAGACCTCACATCATCTGTCTACCATTACTAAGGCTTGTTAGGGCAGCAGGGGCAGAACCCAGCGTTGTCAGTGCCCTTGGCTTTGGAGGTGAGAGGCTGGCCAGGTAGAGACTCATTCAAAGTGGGAAGTGAGGGAAAGTGACATTGCCCCCGGCTGCTTTCTGTGTTGGCTCTGAGCAGCAGGAGAACAGCATTACAAGCAGGTCCTGGGAGCTTAGCCTGAGCACCTGAGAGCTGTGTGGCTGTCTGCTGCCTGATGCCCGTGAGACGCCTTAGAATCCTGTTGCTGATGGTCAGCGCAGTGCAGTGAGGCCAGAGCTGGTAGAGGCAGATGCTGACAGGAGGTCTAGGCCAGGAAGCTGTGATCCTCCAAATATGGAAGGAAATGTGGACTAAGAAGGAGGCAGGAAGAGCATTTCAGGACCTCTGCTTGCTCATGACCTGGCCAAAGTCTGCCTTTCTTGCCTTGGCCGTCAAACCAAGTGAGCTCAGCCAGTGTGTGTGTGTCAAGAAGGACCGGACCTAGCTCCAACTTGTCTCTCTGATCTCACCTTTTACCTTGTAAATACTGAGCCTGAAAATGGAGGCAGCTATTATACTGTGGCCTGATTGGAGGTCGCCCAAGGAACTCCTCCCAGGACCGAATTGCTTCCACCGTTAGTGCCAGAGGCGTAGCAGACCCTGCAGGCTTTGGGGTGAGGGGGTACCAGGTCAAAGGCAGAAGCAATTTACTAGGTTATCTTGAAAAAAAAAATAGCCCAAAAAGAGTTGAGCTTTTCTGGGATTTCCCTTCATGTACAAGCTGCAAGTTTGTCAAATAGATGTACAAGTTGATTAAATGCCAGGGCATCACAGATGCAATTATTTTTGAGAGTGAGCTGCTTCTAATCTCTCTGCCATCACTGATTAATTAGACACTTTGAACTATGCCCAACTGTTTGAAAGCTGTGAAAAATACAACCTGCATAGTGAAGATTTCTGTGCAAGTTTCTTTCCTCATTTGTGCCTGCATGCAACCATTCTTTAACCATAATGTGTGTTTCCAAACACACATTCTGGCTATTTTCTTATCATGGTTACACATCCCTCTACTGTCGGCCAAGAAATAAACTCACACAGAAAAATCCCGTAACAAAAGAGTAGTAAGAGGGTTGGTACAGTGGCTCTGCAAGCTAACCCTCTAACCTGTGCCACCAGCACCCCGTATGGGCACCGGTTAATGTTCCAGCCACTCCACTTCCTGTCTGACTCTCTGCCTGTGGCCAGTGCCTGAGAGAAAGTAATGGAGGGTGGCCCAAAGCCATGGGACTGTGCATCCACATGGAAGACCCAAAAGAAGCTCCTGGTTCCTAGCTTCAGATCAACTCAGCTCTGGCCATTTGTGTTCATTTGGGGAGTGAACCAGCAGGTGAAAGACCTTCTCTCTCTCCTTCTATCTCTGTAAAATCTGCCTTTCAAATAAATATAATTTTTTTTCTTTTTTTAAAGTATAAGAGAGGCCAATTGAAGAATTTAGACATACCTTTTAAAATGCTGCCATCACTAGCCGTACTTGGAAAATATATGATTTTTTCTCGTGAATCTTGCATGCATGCCTCAGAAAGGACTGAATCTGTTGTTTCTCTATCTTGAGATTGTAGAAGGTTTTTGTGTCGGCCTGCAGGGAACTGAGTGGGGGTAGGGCAGCTGGTCCAGGGCCTAGAAACCATCTCATTTATGACACATAATTATCGGGTATTATCATAATACCTGACACCCTGTTTTCCAAGTACTACGTTTCTCTTCTTTGCTGGAATTTTAAAGTAACTGAGCCAAGAAAGGCTCATCCCATGAGTGAAGAATCCCAGGCAGGAAGTATAGAATTGCCCCTGATGACTCAGCCAGAGTGTACCCCATCCATAGGGACAAGGGCACAGTGAGAAGACCAGCTTGGCTGTGTCTGTATTCCCCTGGCCTGAATTGGTCTTCCCTGCGGCAGCATCTCCATGCCAGGCCTTGAATTCTGAAGCTGCCTCAGCCTACTCCCCACAGGCCTCGGAGGTCTGTAATTAATGTCTCCAGAGGCAGACAAGGAACAGTCTTTCTCAACAAATTGAGAGAAAATATTTGCATTTGATCTTATTCCCCTTTTTATTTGGGATGGGAGGGTGGGGAAGGATACATAAATTGTACGTGTGTTCGTTTCCACACCCTAACATCCCATGTGAATCCGAAAAGCGAGACGGCATCAAGATCTCTACCCCTGGATTTCTCTTTCTCTCTCTCTTTTTTTTTTTTTTATGTGGGAGGAGGTATTTGTTTATTTTCATTGGAAAAGCAGATTTACAGAGAGGATCTTCCATCTGCTGGTTGGCTCCCAAATGGCCACGTTGGCCAGAACTGAGCCAATCCAAAACCAGGACCAAGGTGCTTCTTTCAGATCCCTCAGGGGCTTAAGGACCTGAGCCATCCTTTGCTGCTTTCCCAGGCTGCAGCAGGGAGCTGGATGGGAAGTGAAGCACCTGGGATACAAACTGGCATCCACATGAGATGCTGGAGGATTAACCGGTGGAGCCATTGCACTGGCCCTGCATCTCACCTCTTTTATTGAGGATGAGACAGCTGGCCTGCCTCGCTGGAAGCTGGGTGGTTCTTGTTACATGTGTCGACTGGAACCCAGTTGAAAGGCCACAGGTGACTGTGCGATTGAGTTTACATTGACTTCTTTCCTTGCCCCACTAGGTAACAGCCTGCCTGATCGCTGTGGCAAAAACAGATCATGAAGTTCAAGTACGCAGAGCTGCCGTTCATGTGGTTGTGCTGCTGCTTCGAGGACTCAGCCAGAAAGCCCCCGAGGTCAGTCTGCCCACTGCCCACTGCCCACTGCCATACCTCTTAGCAGCTGGTCTGCTTCCCAGTCTGCATCTCCCCTGGGCAGGCCTCAGGCCTTTTCCCCAGATGCACTCCCAGCGTGGTGATTGCTGCAGGCAAACTAGAGCCCACTTTTGTAGACTGAGGCTCTGTGTCCTGGCATCCTCCTGCATGCCGGCAGTTCCGAGGTGAGCTTGCTGGAAGGCAGTAGCCCTACCTTGCACCTTGCAGTTACCCTCCAGTGACTCCCTGCCCTCCCTGACTCACCTGGTGGCTCATGCAGCCTTGCTGAAGGGCCTCATGGCGGATGTGTCCTCTCTGGCTACGTTCTAGCATGAGTCCTTAGTTGCTGCATCGGTTGAACTTTGTTCTCCCTGCAAGTGGTGGGTCTGGCCGGATTACTCCCTGTTGCATGGTCACTGTAAGAAGTTGATCTCTCTCTTGATGTGTGCTGGGAATGAGTGACATCTCTAGTAATTTCCTTCTTGATTTGAATGGACACCCACTCTCAGTTGATTTCACAGAGAGAGTCTGCACAGTAATTCACTTCCTGGCACCCACAATGCTTATCACACATTACAAACTAACCAAGTGTCAGGGAAGCTGTTCCAAGAGTGATTTTTTTTTTTGTCACACACACACACACACACACACACACGTCCAGCCTTCATTCCTGCTAGAACTTTGCCATAGCAAGGCCTCCACAACCATTCGTATGAACATGGATTCATCACTCACCTTCTTCCTTCCCCGAATGGCCCTGTTTTCCCTCTCACTGCTCACCTGCTCCGGTGTCAGCCCAGAAGCTGGGTCATGGCATTTCCCTGTGGCCACTTCCTGCTGCTCTCCCTCCTCATCTGCTGTATGTGGGTGAAGCCTCGGGTGGAATGAGTTTATCTGGTGTGATATGTCCAGCTACAAGGTATAAAAACAGCCAACAACAATGGGTCAAACAAGTGAGGGTTTGTCTTGCATCACGAGAAATCCGTAGGTAGGTGGTAGTCATATAGCTGCTCGGTGTCAGCGGGGCCAGTGCTTGCTAATCCTCACGGCTGACACGGCTGGGGGAGGCTGAGCTGGCTGCCTCTCAGGACCTCCTGCAGAGAGAGAAACAGCTCCCTAACTGGCAGTTACCTCGGATTTTGATGGGATGGGGAGGATAGTGTGTGGATCATAAGTCAATAATTCACCTAATGAAACAAGTTGCAATGGGGTGGGGCTATGCTGTACAGAGGGAGTTAAGGAAGATCCGTGTTTCTCATCTATTGCTAAGATTTGCAGAACTGTTGGCAGATTCATCTTATGTGACCCAAGTTAGCAGAGGGAAACCAAGTGAGGGATGAATAGGAACCCTGTACCACTTTTGTAACTTTTCTGTAAATTAAAATAATTTCAAAATAGAAATGACAACACTAACTAAATCTATAGGAGCTGTGACTGTGGCATACAGAGTCAAGCCATCACCTGCGCTGCTGGCATCCCATATGAATGCAAGTTTGGATCCCAGCTATTCCACTTCCATTCCAGTTCCCTGTCAGTGTGCCTGGGAAAGTAGCATAGCATGGTCCAGGCGCTTGAGCCCCTGAAAGCTACATGGGAGACCCAGAAAAACCTTCTGGCACCTGGTTTTGGCTTGACCCTTCCTGGGCCTTTGCAGCCATTAAGGGAGTGAAACAGTGGATGCAAGATAACTCTCTCATCTTTTCTCTTTGTCTTTCTGTAACTCTGCCTTTCAAATAAATAGAATAAATCTTTGGGGGAAAAAAATCTATAAGATTTTTGTAACTGCACGCACTGTTAGAGGAGAGTGTGTGTGTATGTATGTGTGTGTGTGTATACGGCAGAGTAAATGTCTAGTTAGCAAGGGAGAGAAGTCAGGAGTCTGTGTCCCAGGGTGGGACAGGTCAGGAGCCTGTGTCCCAGGGTGGGACAGGTCAGGAACCCGTGTCCCAGGGTGGGTATTTAACACAGTGACTCAGATGCTGCTTAGAATCTACATCCTCTGTTAAGAGTGTCTGCTTGGAGTTCCAGCTCTGCTCCTGTTCCCTGTTAATTCACACTTTGGGAGGCAACATTGTTGGCCCAAGTACTTGGATTCCTGCACCCATGTGGGAGACCCAGACTGTGTTCTGGTCTCCTGACTTCTGCCTGGCCCAGCCCTCACTGTTGAAAGCCTTTGGGAAGTGAACCACAGGATAGAAGATCTTTCTCTCTCTCTCAAATAACATTAAAAACTGGCACTGTGAGTTAAACCACTCTCTTTAACTCTGCACTTCAAACAAATAATGAAACCTTTTTGTAAAAAGTCATATAAAATGAAAAATTTGTTCAAATTTTCCAACTTATGTGTATCCAATGGGAACATCACTGCCTGTCTGAGGAACGAGCTGGAAGATTTTTGTTGCTGTCAAAAGAGCCATGTGAATGAAAGATCTCCAAGTTGTCTCTTCTGCATCCGCAGAGCCGTGTGAGCCGCGCTTGCTCCGTGAGTGAAGAAGGGGAAGGGGGTGGGACAGAGGCCGAGTCCTCTGCCCAGTGCGTGCTTGCGATCAGGTGTGTTAAATCTTGTAATCGTAGGTGTGGCTATCATCAGGGCAGCTTCCATGAGCAGCACAGATCACCGCAAAGCTCTCCATCTGGGGTTTTGCTGCAGGGTTCTGTTTCGCCTCCAGGAATGGCTGAAATGAAAACGCTGCTTTGTTAATGAAGTTTCATGTTCGTCCTCCCACCCCCACCTCCAATCACCAGCTCTCAAACCATAGCGCGCCGAGATAACTCCAAATTTCAGTGACTTCCCCGTTGCTTGTCACTCCTCCAAGGAGCTCTGCAGCTAAGGCAGCTTGGAAAGAAGCCAGAGCAGAGAGGCCGGGATCAGAAATCAGACGTCTCCACCCCTAGCCCATGGGGTCATTTGCATGTTTTCCCACCATAGACAGTGTTCTATATGGTGGGTGCTATATCCACATTAGACACAAACAGTGGACCCAGGTTCATTTCTATCAAAATTCTCTTTTTTCTGCTTGCCCTGATGACTTCTTTATGTCTTGTTATGTAGCGTTACAGCCTGGGAGAAGCCAGAAGGAGCCCACTTGAAACCCGCCCCGCCTGGCACTTGCTGAAAAGCCAAGTCAACTGGGCATCCCCAGCAGAGGAGCTGTTTTAAGATCTGTCCTTTCTGCTGGCCTGGGTTGCAGGACAGACCTTGTCAGTGTGGAGGAGAGGAGCAACGGCACAGCTGGAGCACACGAGCTGAACCGCCCAGCCCTCCCTCAGGGGTCCTTGCACCGTTGCTGCTCCCTGTGAGCCGTGTCAGTGTCAGAACTGCCCATACTCTTAAGGTCACCCCAAACACAGCAGCTGGGGCAGTAAGTGCTGAGCAGTGACCAAGAGCCCAACCTCCATCAGGTGACCATTGTAACCTCTGGATGTGACATGCTGAGCATCCCCTGACGTCAGCATGGTGGGTTGCAGGTGGGCTTCAAAGGGCAGCCGTGTACAGCGGCAGGAGCAGCTGTCCTGGCTGTTCATCCAGGGGCAGAGTCGATAAGCTGTTCCGAGGGGCGCACAACGCTGTCAGGGTGTGGCAGAGAAATCCCAGCTGTTCTGCCCCGAGGACCAGGAGATGGGTGCTGCTCTGCTGGCAAGCCCCTGAAGTTAGAAGAGATAATCACCTACTTAAAAATAAAAGCAGAGGGCCCGTGTTGTGGTATATGAAGTAAAGTCTCTGGCTGCAGCGCCAGCACCCCTTACACCTGTTCAAGACCTTGCTGCTCCACTTCCACTCAGTTCCCTGCTGATATGCACAAGAAAGCAGAAGACAGCCCAAGTACTTGAGCCCATACCCACAAGGGAGGCCCATTAGAGGTTCCTGGCTCCTGGCTTCAGCCTGGTCCAGTCCCAGCTGTTGTGGCCATTTGGGGAGTAAAGCAGCAGATAGAAGACTGTCTGTGTCTCCTCCTCCTTCATGAACCTTGCCACTCAAGTAAGTTAAACAACAAAACAGAACAAATTAATTAATAAAAGCAGAAACAAACAGTTCATTGGGGAAGAACAGAATCTAGAGACTGCACAATTTAACATTTAAAATATCCAAATTATAATCAAGAATTACTAAATAGACAGGAAGCCAGGAAAATGGAACATAACAAGATGAAAGAAAGTCTATTGAGACCAACTCCAAGGCAATCCCTTACTGGGATTGTCAGATAAAGTTTTCTTCAAAAATGAGCAAAAGCCAGAAGCATCTTCCGAGGGAAGGGTTTGGGATAAACTAGCAGCCGAGGCAGGCTTCTACCCGGGAATGATTTTTTGTTTTTAATTTAGTGCAGGTTTTTTATATAGTTACTTGTCTTCTAGTTTGTTGAAGCAATATGTTAGATTTATTTGCCACAGTAATGTCTGCCAAGGGCCTTGGCCCCAAGCACTGCAGCACACTCATGCCAAGAGCACAGGCTCTGGTGCGTAATTATGCTGTTCTCATCTACCTTGTGGTGCCAGGACAGCCAAACCAACTGACTTAAACTTCTTCCTCTTATACTGATTTTTTTTTAAAGTATTTATTTATTTGAAAGAAATAAATAGTAAAGACAGAGAGAAAGAGAAAAGCTTGTATCTATTAGTTTACTTTCTAGATGACTGCAATTGTCAGGACTGGGCTAGGCGAAAGCCAGGAGCCAGGAACTCCGTCTGGGTTTCCAATGTGGATGGCAGTAGGCCAAGCACTTGGGCCAGCCTCCGCTGCCTTCTCTGGATGAGCAGGGAGCTGGATCAGAAGCAGAGCAGCCGGGACCCCGCCCCGCACCCCTGTGGGATGTTGTCATTGTGGGTGGTGGCGTGAGCTGCTGCTCCAAGGTGCTTCCCCCCCCATGCTTAGTCCTCATGGTGCTGCGCTCCAAGGTGCTTAGTCCTCATGGGAGTGGTGATAGGCTTCTTCCTTTTCTTAGCACCACCGTGACATCTCAACACAAGGTGAAGAGTGGGCTCTT